CGCATCGGGTTCCTTGCTCAGCAGGGAGTCTGCTTCTCCCTCTGACCCTCTTCCCTCTCATGGTCTCTCTCATTCTCTCTCTCTCAAATAAATAAATAAAATCTTTTTAACAAAAGAAGATGAAATTATGGAAAATAAGGAAGCTGTAAAGAAGAGGGAAAGAAAACTATTAGATCACATAGATAGACTTAGGGACCTCAGCAATCCCATACGACAAATTTATCCATATTATAGGAATCCCAGAAGACAAAGAGTGGGGAAAGAGGAGCAGAATATTTATTTGAACGAATTATAGCAGAGAACTTCTACAATCTGAGGAAGGAAACGGACACTTAAGTCTAAGAGGCACAGAGAACTCCCCTCAAAAGCAACAAAAAAGGTCAACACCACAACATATAACTTGCGAATTGCAAGTATAATGAGAAAATCCTGAAAACAGCTTTGGAGAAGAGGCCTTTAAGCTACAAAGGTAGAAACATAAGGCTGGCAGCAGACCTGTATACAGAGACCTGGCAAGACCATAAAGGACGGCCATGATATAGTCAATGTGCTAAGTGGGATAAATATGTAGCCAAGAATACTTTATCCAGCAAGGCTGTCATTCAGATTAGAAAAAAACAGTTTCCAAGACAAGCAAACACTAAAGGCATTCATGGCCACTAAACCAGCCCTTCAAGAAATATTAAAGGGGACCCTATGAGTGATGAGAGGCCAAATGTAACAAAGACCAGAGAGGAACAGAGACAATCTACAGGAACAGTGACTTTACAAGTAATACAATGGCAGTAAATTCATATTGTTCAATAATTGTTCTGAATGTAAATGGACTAAATGCTCCAAAAAATAAAAATAAAAAAATAAAAAAAGATATAGGGTATCAGATGGATTTTTTAAAAAAGGAACCATTGATATGTTACTTACAAAAGATTCATTTTAGACCCAAATACACCTCCAGATTGAAAGTGAAGGAGTGGAGAACCATATATCCTGCTAATTTACATCAAAAGAAAGCTGGAGTAGCCATCCTTATGTCAGACGAACTAGATTTTAAACCAAAGACTGTAGTAATAGATGAACAGGACACTACATCATAATAGAGGGGTATATCCAACAAGATCTAACAACTGTTAGTGTTTATTCCCCTTATGGGAACAGCCAAATATATAAATAAAGGCAATCTACTCATTTAAAACAATCCTTATCAAAATACCACCAGCATTTTCAGAGCTGGAACAAACAACGCTAAAATTTGTATGGAACCAGGAAAGACCTTGAATAGCTAAAGGAAAAAGAAAACCAGGGGTGCCTGGGTGGCTTAGTTCATTAAGCATCTGCCTTTGGCTCAGGTTATGTTCCCAGGGCCTTGGGATCAAGCCCACATCATGCTCCCTGTTCAGCGGGGAGCTTGCTTCTCCCCCTCCCTCTGCTGCTCCCCCTGCTCATACTCTCTTTCTGTCAAATAAATAAGCAAAATCTTGAAAGAAAGAGAGAGAGAGAAAGAAAGAAAAAGGAAGGAAGGAAGAAAGAAAATGAAAACCAAAGCTGGTGACATCACAATTCTGGACTTCAAGCTGAATTACAAAGCTGTAACCATCAAGATAGTATGCCATAAAAACAGTCACATAGATCAATGGGACAGAATAGAGAATCCAGAAACGGACCCTCAACTCTGGGCAACTAATCTTCAACAAAGCAGGAAAGAATAGCTAGTGGGGAAAAAAAACAGTCTCTTCAACAAGTGCTGTTGGGAAAACTGGACAGCCACATGTAGAAGAATGAAACTGAGCCATTTTCTTACACCATACACAAAAATATATTCAAAATGGATGAAATACCTAAATGTGAGACAGTAAACCATCAAAATCCTAGTGGAGAACACAAGCATCAACCTCTTCGACCTCATTGCCAGTAAATTCTTGCTAGATACGTCTTCAAAGGCAAGGGAAACAAAAGCAAAAATGAACTATCGGGACTTCATCAGAATACAAAGCTTTTGCACAGCAAAGGAAACAGTCAACAAAACTAAAAGGCAACCCGCAGAATGGGAGAAGATATTTGTTAATGACATATCAGATAAAGGGCTAGTATCCAAAATCTATAAAGAATTTATAGCTTGCTCAACACCGAAAAAAACAAATAATCTAGTCAAAAAATGGACAGAAGACATGAACAGACATTTCCCCACAGAAGACATGCAAAGGGCCAACAGACACATGAAAAAATGCTCAATGTCACTCAGTATCAAGGAAATACAAATCAAAACAATGAGATACCACCTCACAAGAGTCAGAATAGCTAAAATTAACAAGTCAGGAAACAACAGATGTCGACAAAGATGCGGAGGAAGGGGAACCCTCCTACACTGTTGTTTGGAATGCAAACTGGTGTAGCCACTCTGGAAAACAGTATGGAGGTTCTTCGAAAAGTTAGAAATAAACCTACCCTATAACCCAGGAATTGCACCACTAGGTATTTAACCAAAGGATACAAACGTAGTGATTCTGAGAGACACGTGCATTTCAATGTTTATAGCAGCAATGTCCATAACAGCCAAATATGGAAAGAACCCAGATGTCTATGGATGATGAATTGATAAAGATGTGATTTTATATATATATATATATATATATATAATGGAATGTTACTCAGCCATCAAAAAGAAGGAAATCTTGCCACTTACAATGACGTGGTTGTAACCAGATATTATGCTAAGCGAAATAAGTCAGTCAGAAAAGACAAATACCATATGATTTTACTCATAGGAATTTAAGAAACAAAACAGATGAACATAGGGGAAGGGAAGGAAAAACAAAGTAAGATAAAAACAGAGAGGGAGGCAAACCATAAGAGTCTTAGCTATAGGAAAGAAACCGAGGGTTGCTGGAGGGAAGGTGGCGGGGTGGGATATTTGGGTAATGGGCATTAAGGTGGACAGTTAATGTCATGAGCACTGGGTGTTATATGTAAGTAATGAATCACTAAATTCTACCCCTGAAACTAATAATACACTATACGTTAACTTAATTGAAAAGGGAAAAGACTGTTGACTAAATTTTTTTTAAAGGTCAAGCATGTCTAAGCCATATTTCTTTTGTTCCATATCACCAGTCCTCCTTACTTATTCAACAGTGCTTCTGGATATAGAATAAGAGAGGGTTTTGGATGGCCTGGCTCAATTACAATTGTTTCTCCGTGTCTGAGTGGTAGTTTTAGAGTTGTGTACATGTTGGTAAAGGATATCAATGCAAATAAGACGAGAAGAGATGAAATAAACTTAATAGATTTAGAGAAAATAATGTTGCAGAAGTTAAAAATAGAGAAAGTTAAAACCCTAGCAAAATGAGAAGAGCTGATCAAGAAAGAAAAATAGAATACAAAAGAAATGAGAATAAGGACAATAGAAACACATAGCTTATCACCACTGGCCTAGGGGACAGGGCCTTTTGTATCATGTCACCTCAGGCCATGTCATATTAACAAAGGTAATGCACTACTGTTACAATTAGCATCTACATGGGATTAGGACTTTTCACCAACAAGGGACAGAAACCTTTTCTACATGGGATTTAGCAAAATAAGGATTTTTTTTTTTTTTTTTTTTTTTTGCTAGCTCACTTTAACAGAAGGTCAAGAGATAATTTAAGATTTGATTCAGGTCTTTTCTCATCTTCTTTTCTCCTGCTTTTCACTCCTCAACCCCATAAATTTTTGTTGATATTATTTTTCAGCAAGTTCTCCCAGTAGCTTTGAGAAAATACCCTACCAATTCTTAGCCCTGCAGCAGAACATATCTGCTTAGGTTTCTGAAATATTCCTTCAATAGAGTCTCATTGACTTGACTTGGATAACATACCATTCATGAGCAAAGTACTGGTCCTAGAACATACATATTTTTTATTGGTCCACATGGGTCACATGTCTATTTATTTAGCTGAATACATACAGCTTATTCTTCATATAATAGCCAGAAATATCAAATTGATTATGGTACACTTTGCCTAAACTGCAACGTTCCCCCACTGACTTTTAAGCCTATGTTAATTGTTTGATCTCATCTCAGTTCACATTCCCTTCCACTCACTCTGCTTCAATCGCCCTGGCCTCCTACATGTTCTTTGAGAATTCTAAGCAGGTTCTACTTTGAGACTTTTTTTGCTTTGTTTCTTCTGCCTGAATGGTATTCCCCACGCCTGTGGACATGGCTCATTCTTTCACATCTTTAAGGTCACAATGGTGATTTCTTTGATCACTTTATTCAAAATTAGTTTTCTCAGTGCATAACATGTGTTCTTTCTTTGCTTTAGTTTTCCACAGGGCACTTATCAGAATCTAAGAAATTGAATGTTTTATTGGTTTATCCAATTTATTATCTATGTCATCCAACTCCCACTAAAATGTAAGATTTCTGAGGGCAAGCAAGCAGCAGATCAGGAGCAAATACATAGTAGGTATTCAGAAAATATATTGAATATATTGAATGAATTAATAAATCAATACAAAAATGAATATAATCTTTGAGTGGGAAACTTTGACCAGATAATTTTATCTAAAGGGGAAACTGAGTGGATCAGGTACCATGAAATCTATAGACTCTTTATAGACTTTACATAAACTCTTTCTCCTGTTTGTATTAGGAACTATTTTTAAACCCTATTTTGATACCAATTTGAACCTTGTTTTGTTCGTCATGAGGAAAACCACATGTAAACTGTTTTTATAATTTCACTCCTCACTTTTGATGGATTTCCAATTTCTCATGGTTAAAACATGAAAGAAGGGATAATAGTTTTCCTACGGGGTTACTAAGTCTACTAAGTGAGTTTATATGTACACAAGTAATTTATACAATAAAAGCACTAAAAAAAAGACTTATGATTATGGATATTTATAACCACTGATTGCATTTACATTTTTAAAATACGTTAGTTATAATTAAGCTAATCAAAGAAATCCAGTGCAAAAGTAATGTATTTATTTCTGTTTTGTTGTACTTCCCTTAGGGGATCATGGACATCGAAGCATATTTTGAAAGAATCGGTTATAAGAACTCTAGGAAGAAACTGGACTTGGAAACATTAACTGATATTCTTCAGCACCAAATCCGAACCATTCCCTTTGAGAACCTTGACATCCATTGTGGGGAAGCCATGGAATTGGGCTTGGAGCCCATTTTTGATCAAGTTGTAAGGAAGAACCGTGGTGGGTGGTGTCTCCAGGTCAATCATCTTCTGTACTGGGCTCTGACCACAATCGGTTTTGAGACCACAATGTTAGGAGGGTATGTTTACAGTACTCCAGCCAGCAAATATAGCAAGGCTATGATTCACCTTCTGCTGAAAGTGACTACTGATGGCAGGAATTACATAGTAGATGCTGGGTTTGGACGCTCTTACCAGATGTGGCAGCCTCTGGAGTTAATTTCTGGGAAGGATCAGCCTCAGGTGCCTTGCATCTTCCACTTGACAGAAGACAAAGGAATCTGGTACTTGGACCAAATCAGAAGAGACCAGTACATTCCAAACCAAGAGTTTCTTAATTCTGATCTCCTAGAAAAGAATAAATACCGAAAAATATACTCCTTTACTCTTGAACCTCGAACAATTGAAGATTTTGAGTCTGTGAATACATACCTTCAGATGTCTCCAACATCTGTGTTTACAAACAAGTCATTCTGTTCCTTGCAGACCTCTGAAGGGGTTCACTGTTTAGTGGGCTGCACCCTTACCTATAGGAAATTCAATTTTAAGGACAACATGGATTTGATAGAGTTTAAAATACTGAATGAGGAAGAAGTAGAAAAAGAGCTGAAAAATATATTTAATATTTCCTTGGAGAGAAAGCTTGTGCCCAAACATGGTGATCAATTTTTTACCATTTAGTATAAGGAGCAAAAATGGTCCTCAGTATTTCTTCATGTACTGAAACTTTTTATTATAAAAAATTTTAATCATAGAGACAATAAAATAGTAAATGTCTGTATCACCCAATTTATCAATTATCAGCTACCATATTTCCCCAATACTCACACATTATACTGAGGAAAATTTTACCCTTAAAAATGTCAGCATTTAACATTACAAAGCTGTAGTCATCAAGACAGTATGGTACTGGCAAAAAAAAAAAAAAACAGACACATAGATCAATGGAACAGAATAGAGAACCCAGAAATGGATCCACGACTATATAGTCAACTAATCTTCAATAGAGCAGGAAAGAACATCCAATGGAAAAAAAGACAGTCCCCTCAACAAATGGTGTTGGGAAAACTGGACAGCCACATGCACAAAATGAAACTGGACCACTTTCTTAGACCATACACAAAAAATAAATTCAAAAGACCTAAATGTGAGACAGGAAACCATCCAAATCCTAGAGGAAAACACAGGCAGAAACCTCTTTGACCTCAGCTGCAGCAAGTTCTTACTAGACACGTTACCAGAGGCAAGGGAAACAAAAGCAAAAATAAACAATTGGGACTTCATCGAAATAAAAAGCTTCTGCACAGTGAAGGAGACAATAAAACTAAAAGGCAGCCCATGGAATGGGAGAAGATATTTGCAAATGACATATCAGATAAGGGTTAATACCAAAGTCTATAAAGAATTTATCAAACTTAACACCCCCCAAAACAAATAATCTGGTTAAGAAATATGTGGAAGACATGAATAGACACTTCTCCAAAGAAGACATACAAATGGCTAACAGACACATGAAAAAATGCTCAACATCACTCATCATCAGGGAAATAAAAATCAAAACTACAGTGAGTTATCACCTCACTTATCAGAATGGCTAAAATTAACAACAAAGAAAAAACGGGTGTTGGTGAGGCTATGGAGAAAGGGGAACCCTCTTGCACTGTTGGTGGGAATGAAAACTGGTGTAGCCACGCTGGGGAACAGTTTGGAGGTTCCTCAAAAAGTTAAAAATAGAACTCCCTACAATTCAGCAATCGCACTCTTAGGTATTTACCAAAAAGATACAAAAATACAGATTCTAAGGTGGTACATGCACCCCAATGTTTATAGCAACATTATCAACAATAGCCAAACTATGGAGAGAGCCCACATGTCCAACAACTGATGAATGGATATAGAAGAGGTGATATATATATATATATATATATATATATATATATATA